AATACATGGAGCTTATTTATATTCTTTTGACCTGCTTAATTTCTCGACAAAAGCGATGCCAAGTAGTTAATAAACTAGGGGTTAAGACATGATATGTTTAATCCTTATTCTGGACGCAAAAGTATGCGCAGAGAATCCCAACCTCACTGTCAACGTTCCCACAACGTTGTACTTGTAGTAAACATTCACCTGAAAAATCCAAACCTCATTATACAATTATTTGTCTTTCTTTTGGGAAAAAAAGAAAGGATAAAAAAAGCTATTGCATACCATCAAGAATTTTATCATTGTTGTTTTGGATTTTTGCTCACTAAATGATGTTGGGAAAATACGAATACGATCTTGTGAAATTATTAGGGTACTAGCTACTAATACAGTTGGAGCATGTGGTTTTGCTTTATAAAATGCACCCTAATACATATATCAGGATAGAAGACAAGTCATTTGTGCAATGCTAGGTTTTGTTTCGCTATATTATTGTAAAAATAATATCAAATGGTCTAGGATTAGACAGCTTTCATTAGTCTGTTTTTCTTATTTATTTGGGAAACGTTTCACCTACCACTATTGGGCAACAAAAGTTAACACTCGAGCAAGTAAAAGTTGTAAGAAATTCTACCTAAAAATTGAAGCTGCTAAAATAATAAATGCACATAAATGTTACTGTCAAAGAAGAGGAAACCCAAAAAAAAAAATGAAGTTTGCAGCATGTGAATGGATCAAGATAATTGGTAAAAAAAAGGCTGATTGGATTGTGTTTCATCACAAGGAAAATGAGCGATTTAAGTTTTAAATTTCTCTATGCAATTGCAAAAATTTAAAATTTTTTTTCCGCAACGAAAATAATTTATCCTACTTCTGTACTAATCTACGCTATGAAGAAGGGGAATGATGCGAGATTTGAACCCGGACTTGGCGAATGGGAGATGCTCCCTCCCTATGCGTGGAGATTGGATGCCAACATACCATAAAATGAGTGGATGGGGTAAATGTACAAAAGTAATTCTTCTGGAAGGGCTCCCGCAAATGCTGTCCACTTATCCTAAAATTTGAATGACTAGCAGTTATTCCCTAGTCTAAAGGCCGAAAGATGTGTTAGCCATGGCCATGCCAATAGTTGCCACGTTGCCTGCTTTTCTATTACGCGTGTCCACCCTATATCGGCTTGATCTCCTCTATAAATGGCTCATTATCTTACTTCTGTTAATCCCCATTATCAATTACTAATACGTGTTTGTATTAACCGCTGGTAGCAGTTCCCTAATTACCTCATCTTACATTATTAGCACAGTACTAAAAAAAACCACATTAATTGCTAGAGTATGGATAATTCACAAAACGCAAGTTACCAAGCCGGTCAGGCCAAGGGCCAAATGCAGGTGATTATCACTGCACCTGCTTAACTTTAATTATCTTACCAGTGATATAATTTGTGATTACTAGGAGTGGATCAATCACTCGTGTGTATCATGTTGATTTCAGGAAAAGGGAAGCCAAATGATGGATAAGGCAAGCAATGCGGCTCAATCAGCTAAGGAATCCATGCAAGAGGTTCTTCCTTACTTTTCTGATTATTAATTTTTTCCAGACCTATTTACTACTCTCACAATACATACATGCAATATATTTCTTGTTGTATTTTTTCTAGGAAAAAAAAGAAAAAAGAAAAAAGGAAGTTTGTTACTTGGGGTTATGGTAAAATTATCTGGAGTGTGTTGTGTGTATGCAGGCAGGGCAGCAAGCGAAGGCCACGGCTCAAGGAGCAGTCGATACTGTTAAAAATGCGACGGGGATGAACAAATGAAGAGGGTGCAGCTGTTTCAGCACATCTGCTTTCATGCACGATTAATCCCAGATTTCTCTTGGTTGGAGTTGGACCTCTCTTTCACATTTTTTGTCTTCGTCTGCTTTCTGCGCACTTTTTTGGCAATTCCCTTTTTCTTGTAGATGTTCATCCTTTTGTTAGTTTTCCATCTGTAAAAGAAAAGGGAAAAAAGGGAGGGTCTGTACCTGTAATCATGCATGGGCTTCACGACTTGATCTAATAAAATTCCAGTATTTCTTCTTGGTTCTACAACAAGATGTGATTTTGTCCAACTTTTTTTCAGTTTGACTCAACGCCGCCAAACAGCATAACCACTTTCTTTTCTTCTGGTAGTGAATAAAAGTACTCGAATCCTATTTTTATATCCATTGAAATTCTTCAGATTTTTGTGGGATTTTGAGGGAGGGCAGCCAAAAGCCTTTGGAAGATGGGGGAAGGAGAAAAGTTGTTCGTCTCAAAGCAATCAAAGATAAAACTATAATGAATATTTAGGCACGTCAATTTATGGAGCTTTGGCCTATACCAATTTGCTGTTTGCTATCCTTGCCTGCATAATGCATATATCATTCTTTTAACTAAACAAATCATCCATCGCAGATGCACAACTGAGCTAAGAAGTACCATGCATCCCAACCAAAAGAATTCGACGACTGTTAATTATAGGAAAATTTAGGCTTAAATACATATCACAATTTGGGAGGAATTAATTACCTCCGAGAACCAACTACCAGTCATTTGGACTGGTGGCCACCACAAAAAATTTTAAGTCTTAATGGGTGAGAGGTCAAAGGTTCAAAAAAAATTACCAACAAGAACTAAATAGTAGCTGGGAAGTACTTGAAGTAACTAAGTTAGGCAACACAAATTATTAAAAATAAAAAGTTCTATTAAATTATTCTTTTGAGCACTTCCAAATTTGAAAAATTCTACTTCCAATTGGGTAGAGGGAAAAATTTGTAAAAATATTACCAATGTTTTTAATATTAACGGCACATGTGTTGAACAATTTTCGACTTCCAAGTTCCTAGTCTAGATTGCATTTTAACTTTTAAGCATCCTCCATCTCAAGTCTTAAATCATTTTCATAATAGACTCATTTTTTTCCTTGAACGTTCCTCTAATATACCTCAAACAAGATGAGCAAATCCCAAACTCATCATTTGATTTCCAAATTAAAAAAAAAAAAAACCTAATTACTTGATTTTAGGTTGCAAAAAATGCATCAACTTATAATTTTTTTGCACTCCACAAAAGTAGTGTTCTTAATATACTCATTAGTTGAAGCATTCATTATTACAACTAAAGGAGATAAAGAACCAAAGCCCCCATCAGCAAAACAAAGATAAGATGGGTAGTAATCAGGTTTGAGGTCTCAGAAATGTCACCAATGAAGTCTATAATCAGGCGGCCATCAGATCCCCTACCAGTAGGTCTGCGGAAGTACGTCTCACCACAAGGTGCTATCATTGGAGAAAATGCTGCTGCTATTCCTCATGTATCTGAATTAATATCACCAAAGCTGTAAAGCGCCAAGTAGTCACAGGACTGTAAATCCACCACCTTTTTGTTTGTTTCTGTTGTCGATCCACCTGATAAAACTATAACCACTAAGAACATAGCTCTTAGAGACTCCATTTTTTTCCTTGCCTAGTAGCTGAAATTATGCGCTAGATGCTCGGGTTTCATATTTGCAGAGCTTGGTTATATATTTATAAATCATGATGGTTGTCGCATCTGCTGGTGTTAATTTATTTGTAGTTTCTGAGAAGAGGACTAACAGGCAATGAAGAGTAGAGCAGTAAGAACATCTTGAACATCTTTTCTAACTGATGGAAAAGCATCTTGAGCATTTCACCGTATTTAGTATCCAACAATTAGTTGATTGAATTGGGAGTATAACATAGAGTATATAATTGATTCCCGCAATACATGGAGCTTATTTATATTCTTTTGACCTGCTTAATTTCTCGACAAAAGCGATGCCAAGTAGTTAATAAACTAGGGGTTAAGACATGATATGTTTAATCCTTATTCTGGACGCAAAAGTATGCGCAGAGAATCCCAACCTCACTGTCAACGTTCCCACAACGTTGTACTTGTAGTAAACATTCACCTGAAAAATCCAAACCTCATTATACAATTATTTGTCTTTCTTTTGGGAAAAAAAGAAAGGATAAAAAAAGCTATTGCATACCATCAAGAATTTTATCATTGTTGTTTTGGATTTTTGCTCACTAAATGATGTTGGGAAAATACGAATACGATCTTGTGAAATTATTAGGGTACTAGCTACTAATACAGTTGGAGCATGTGGTTTTGCTTTATAAAATGCACCCTAATACATATATCAGGATAGAAGACAAGTCATTTGTGCAATGCTAGGTTTTGTTTCGCTATATTATTGTAAAAATAATATCAAATGGTCTAGGATTAGACAGCTTTCATTAGTCTGTTTTTCTTATTTATTTGGGAAACGTTTCACCTACCACTATTGGGCAACAAAAGTTAACACTCGAGCAAGTAAAAGTTGTAAGAAATTCTACCTAAAAATTGAAGCTGCTAAAATAATAAATGCACATAAATGTTACTGTCAAAGAAGAGGAAACCCATAAAAAAAAATGAAGTTTGCAGCATGTGAATGGATCAAGATAATTGGTAAAAAAAAGGCTGATTGGATTGTGTTTCATCACAAGGAAAATGAGCGATTTAAGTTTTAAATTTCTCTATGCAATTGCAAAAATTTAAAATTTTTTTTCCGCAACGAAAATAATTTATCCTACTTCTGTACTAATCTACGCTATGAAGAAGGGGAATGATGCGAGATTTGAACCCGGACTTGGCGAATGGGAGATGCTCCCTCCCTATGCGTGGAGATTGGATGCCAACATACCATAAAATGAGTGGATGGGGTAAATGTACAAAAGTAATTCTTCTGGAAGGGCTCCCGCAAATGCTGTCCACTTATCCTAAAATTTGAATGACTAGCAGTTATTCCCTAGTCTAAAGGCCGAAAGATGTGTTAGCCATGGCCATGCCAATAGTTGCCACGTTGCCTGCTTTTCTATTACGCGTGTCCACCCTATATCGGCTTGATCTCCTCTATAAATGGCTCATTATCTTACTTCTGTTAATCCCCATTATCAATTACTAATACGTGTTTGTATTAACCGCTGGTAGCAGTTCCCTAATTACCTCATCTTACATTATTAGCACAGTACTAAAAAAAACCATATTAATTGCTAGAGTATGGATAATTCACAAAACGCAAGTTACCAAGCCGGTCAGGCCAAGGGCCAAATGCAGGTGATTATCACTGCACCTGCTTAACTTTAATTATCTTACCAGTGATATAATTTGTGATTACTAGGAGTGGATCAATCACTCGTGTGTATCATGTTGATTTCAGGAAAAGGGAAGCCAAATGATGGATAAGGCAAGCAATGCGGCTCAATCAGCTAAGGAATCCATGCAAGAGGTTCTTCCTTACTTTTCTGATTATTATTTTTTACCAGACCTATTTACTACTCTCACAATACATACATGCAATATATTTCTTGTTGTATTTTTTCTAGGAAAAAAAAGAATAAAGAAAAAAAGGAAGTTTGTTACTTGGGGTTATGGTAAAATTATCTAGAGTGTGTTGTGTGTATGCAGGCAGGGCAGCAAGCGAAGGCCACGGCTCAAGGAGCAGTCGATACTGTTAAAAATGCGACGGGGATGAACAAATGAACAGGGTGCAGCAGTTTCAGCACATCTGCTTTCATGCACTATTAATCCCAGATTTCTCTTGGTTGGAGTTGGACCTCTCTTTCACATTTTTTGTCTTCGTCTGCTTTCTGCGCACTTTTTTGGCAATTCCCTTTTTCTTGTAGATGTTCATCCTTTTGTTAGTTTTCCATCTGTAAAAGAAAAGGGAAAAAAGGGAGGGTCTGTACCTGTAATCATGCATGGGCTTCACGACTTGATCTAATAAAATTCCAGTATTTCTTCTTGGTTCTACAACAAGATGTGATTTTGTCCAACTTTTTTTCAGTTTGACTCAACGCCGCCAAACAGCATAACCACTTTCTTTTCTTCTGGTAGTGAATAAAAGTACTCGAATCCTATTTTTATATCCATTGAAATTCTTCAGATTTTTGTGGGATTTTGAGGGAGGGCAGCCAAAAGCCTTTGGAAGAGGGGGGAAGGAGAAAAGTTGTTCGTCTCAAAGCAATCAAAGATAAAACTATAATGAATCTTTAGGCACGTCAATTTATGGAGCTTTGGCCTATACCAATTTGGTTTTTGCTATCCTTGCCTGCATAATGCATATATCATTCTTTTAACTAAACAAATCATCCATCGCAGATGCACAACTGAGCTAAGAAGTACCATGCATCCCAACCAAAAGAATTCGACGACTGTTAATTATATGAAAATTTAGGCTTAAATGCATATCACAATTTGGGAGGAATTAATTACCTCTGGGAACCAATTGCCAGCAATTTGGACTGGTGGTCACCACAAAAAACTTTAAGTCTTGATGGGTGATAGGTTAAGGTTTCAAACCTCATCTCTTATCATTTGTTATAATATGTGATTTTCTCAAATCCATACGCCCTTCTCCACGAGAACCAAACAGTAAGTACTTGAAGTAACTAAGTTAGGTGACACAAATTATTAAAGATAAAATGTGCTATTAAATGTTTCTTTTGAGCACTTCCGAATTTTGGAAAATTCTACTTCCAATCAGGTAAAGAAGGGAAAATTTTTGTAAAAATATTATTAGTATTTTTAGTAGTAATAGCACATGTGTTGAACAATTTCCGACTTCCGAGTTCCTAATCTAGATTGCAGTTTTACTTTTAAGCCTCATCCATCTCAAGTCTTAAATCGTTTTCATAATAGACTCTTTTTTTTCCTTGAAAGTTCCCCTAATATACCTCAAACAAGATTAGCAAATCCCAAACTCATCATTCGATTTCCAAATTAAAAAAAAAAACCTAATTACTCGATTTTTTGTTGCAGAAAATGCATCAACTTTTTATTTTTCGACACTTTACAATAGTAGTATTCTTAATATACTCATAATCCAATTACTAAATTGCATGATGCCTAATATAAACTACTTTGTCAACTAAATTGACCCTATTAATACTTATACGGAAGTTGTCCACAGAAAAATGAATAATCTCTTCCTTTCTTTTCCCGCTTAGAGATGGCGATGAGTAGAGTAAATCCAATATCTGCAAAAACTCAACTCAATGGTTAATTGAATTAGACAATCATTGGATAATTTGGTAGGGTCTGACATTGACGAGAGGTTATTGAAGAATAGAGTTCGGTAAAAAAACCATAAAAACCCGATACCCAACATATACACAAACATATGCCTTAGTTTTATATGTTAATAAAGTTAACTTTAACCCAACTCTTTACATAATCCTTCATTCCTCTTACGTAGGCTCTATAGCTTCATCAAAGTTTAAAAATTCAACGTAACGTGTTAATGTAACATGATGTATGTATTAATTTTAGTTTGATGATAGTTAGTTTTCTTTTTTCGAACTATGCAGATTAGCAAGTAACGAGTATCTAATGGAAAATCCAAATTTGAAAATGAGACGATTTGGTAACGAAAGTTAAAACCCTTAGGATTACGCAATGGGGAGGACCCAATAGGGTTTGGTATCAGATTAAAATATGCAAGTTAAAGTTTGCTATGAAAGATTTTTTAGAGTGACCTCTGCCATCCCTATCCCCACTTCTTAAATGTGTTCTCTCTAAAAAAATTCAAACACAGAAAAAGAATACTTACTTATAGGGGTGATCGCGGGTCGGGTACTAGTCCCATTTATCATTTGGCTGACCCGACCCGCATTTTGCGGGTCAGTCATTTTCTGACCCTTACCCGCCCCGCATATCAGCGGGTATCCGATTATAGGGTACCCGCTGAGATAGGGTCGGGTTAGCGGGTACCCGCCCCGCCTCATTTATCATTTAATTTTTTTTAAAAAATAATTTATACCAATTTAATTTTATATTTTACACATTAATCTAAGATTTAATAAATTTTTTTTTCTAGAAAAAGGTTTCCCACCAAGAAACAAGCATGTGAAGAGAATATAAGATAAAGGAAAAACATTAAAAGAATTCAAAATCAATAAAAGTTTGAAATAAGGAGCACAATTTTTAATATATATGTTCCACATTAATTAAACTTTTTTCTATAAAATATAAGATCATGGCCTCTACAAATGAATCTTGTAAATAAACTGTAGTATCTCATATTTGTAATGCAATTTATTCAATAAAATTACTTATTTAGTTCTAACTTATTATTTTATAATGTGTGTATAAAAAAAATATATATATATATATATATATATATATATATATATATATATATATATATATATATATATATATATATGCGGGGCGGATTGGGTACCCGCAGGTTTTCAATTATGTGACCCTAACCCGCCCCGCATCTTAGCGGGTATCCGACTCTCTTTTGACCCGATCAAATAATAAAAATCGGATATCCTAATTTTCGAATCGGATCGGATCGGATGTGACGGATTTTCGGGTTAACGGATAATTTTGCTCACCCCTACTTACTTACTTTAGTTTTATTTTTCGATGGGCTTTTCTTTGTTCCAGAGGTAATTAATTAAGGTCAATCCGTGAATTTTCATTTCAAACTGCCGCGCTCTTGTTTCACTCTCCCAGCCAAAATAGGGCCGAAAGGGCCCAAACCCTAAAATCGAAATCAAAAACCCCTTCTAGCTTTCTACTCTTAGCCGGAAAACCTCGAAAACTGCTCGCTATCTCGGAACCCATCAATAGAACTCTTCAGATCAATGAGAAATCAATGGCGTTGGCTTCTTCTCCTCCGATGCCACTCTCGGTCTGGACTGCTCATTTCCACCCTACCTCACTCTCAGGTAAACTCTACCCGCTCTATCTCGTCATGTTCTCTGCTTTCCCCGCCTCATCCCCCGCGCGTTACTATCAATCAACTTCATAACCCCCCTATGTCTCTCCGTTTTTTCTCCTCTTCTGAGCTCGCCGTTGAACCCACCAAAGACCAACCTGATCAAAACCAAATTGCTGTGCTGACTGACATTTTCTCCCAGACCCAGCTGAGTAATGAGAAAATTAAGCTGGAATTAGAGTCCAATAACATTGTCATAACCCATGATTTGGTTTTGAATGCGTTGAAGAATCTCCAGGCTGCCCCTGATGTGGCGCGGAGGTTCTTCAAATGGGTTTCAAAGAGTGATAACGAGAAGAGATTGAGCTCGAAATCTTATAATTTGATGCTGGGTGTACTGCTTGGTAATGGGTTTGTGAAGGAATTTTGGGATATGGTTGGGACTATGAAAAAGAAAGGTTATGGAGTATCGAAGGGTACGTTTGTTAAAGCTTTGGAGAAATTTGAGAAGGATGGGATGAGTGATGATGTTAAGAAGTTAAAAGATTTGTACGCGTCCGGGTCGACTGATAATTCAGTTGAAAATCTTTGTTCTCGGGTTTGTAGAGCTATTAGATCAGAGCTTTGGGGTGATAATGTGGAAAAGCGGCTTCGGGGCTTGAATGTTGAGTTTTCTAGTGAGTTGGTGTCGATGGTTGTGGACAATCTTGGGATTGGTGCAAACAAGGGGTTGATTTTCTTCAGGTGGGCTGAGGAGAGCGGTCTCTGCAAACATGATGAACGTACGTATAATGCTATGGTGAGGGCATTAGCTGGTGAGGATGCGAGTAATAAATTCTGGAGGGTTGTTGATGAGATGAGGAATGCTGGGTTTGAAATGTACAGGGACACCTACGTTGATGTTTTGGGAAGGTTTGTTAAGAAGGGAATGATCAAGGATGCTGTGGATTTGTACGAGTTTGCAATGGGGGGCTTGAATAAGCCATCAGTGCATGATTGCACTTTTCTTTTGCGGAAAATTGTAGTTGGAAAGGAGCTGGATATGAACTTATTTTCTAGAGTTGTGAGGATCTTTAGGGAGGGTGGAAATGTGATTACAAATTCTGCTTTTGATGCAGTTCTCAAGTCTTTGACCAGCGTTGCAAGAGTTGGGGAGTGCAACAGCATTATAAAAGCCTTGGAAGAGGGTGGGTTTCAACTCAACGGTACTTTGCAAAGAAAGATTGCCTTTCAACTCAGCAGGGGTGGGAAACATGATGAAGCAGGTGAATTTATAGATAACATGGAGGCATCTGATTCTACTCCAGATCATAAAATCTGGGCATCCTTGGTTGAAGGATATTGTCTGGCTGGTGACCTGGAGAAAGCTTCAGATAGTTTCCGAAAGATGGTTGAGAAAGTCGAGGCTTCTAGTACCGGATATGCTCTAGAATTATTGGTTAGTACATATTGCCGTAAGAACAGAGCAGCAGATTCATACAAACTTGTTACTGAAATGATTGATGGAAAAGACTTGCAACCTTGGCATTCCACATACAAAATCTTGATAGGCATGTTGTTGGCACAAGGAGGATTTAAAGAAGCTTTGGATGTTCTTCCCCTGATGAAGAAACAAGGATATCCACCCTTTTTGGAGCCCTTCATTGAGTACCTTTCTAAGTGTGGAAGCCCTGATGATGCTGTTGCCTTTTCAAAAGCAATGACAGTGAAGAGATATCCATCCACATCTGTATTTCTGCAACTATTCGAAGCTTACTTCAAAGTGGGAAGGCATAATGAAGCACAAGACTTTCTTGCTAAGAGCCCGAGATACATAAGAAACCATGCTGATGTTCTTAATATGTTTTGTTCCGTGAAAGGTGGAGAGAAAGCTCCTGCCATTACCATGGCTGCTTAGGATTCAGTGAATGTATCAGTACTGTATTTTGTCACCTCAAAGAAGTAGCACATTCGTTGAAAATTTTGTTTTGCTTTTTTTTTTTTGCTTCATTTGTATCAATTTCTTCACTGCTGGAGCATAGCTGGAATTTTTTTTTTTTTTGGCAATAATAAGGAAGTA